ACTTCACTCCCGACTCCCGAGTAGGTAGACATTCTGTAAATCAGAGCACTGTCTAGGTAGCCATTCTTCTTCTCAAACATGCTTGATTGGACATCTTCACTTGGAGTGAGGGAGACTGAGGAGATCATGTCTTCAAGTATGATGTACTCCGACATAGCTGTAGGGGTCAGACGAGGAACCAGGAAACTTTGGAGACCTTGCTGGATCACAGCACAGACTGCGACCGAGTTGTTGGAGCTGTGGCTGTAGAGTAGTGGGAATTTGGCGTGGAGGGGCAGATCGGTAAGCCACCTATCTTCCCAAAACGAAGTGGACTTGCCATCCCTGATAGAAACAGTGGTGATGCATCTATAGGCGGGAACCCTAAACCCTAAACAAAGTGTTTACGTCTCTACTATGATTAAGAAACATAAAACATGCTTAGGCTTAGCTATCTACATGTTTGGTTGGGAAGTTGAATATATCGACTCGTCATCGCATCGCAATGCTTTTCAGCTCCTGACTTGACGTGCGCGCTGTCGCCAGCCATCGTTGCCCAGATGTTGAGCTCCGCCGATCGCTGGTATTGCAGCGATGGCATGGAACTTAATCCTAATGGTACTCATGTTTCTTTCACTTGCCTTGTTTCAAGGCCTGTTCTTGCGCCACCCAACCTGATCCAATCCATCCGAAAAAGACCTAACCCGACTCGACTCGCTAATGCATCGGGTCAAGTTAGGGTCCTAATTTTTTACCTGGGCCCAACCTAAGAAAATAGCCCGACCTGATTCGACTCATCAATGCGTTGCGTCAGGCTCAAGCCAAAGATTTTAAACTGATCATTTTTCTTGTCTGACTTGACGTTTGATCAGGTCTATTTTTTTCTATGCAGTTCACTGCCACTGAGTTGTATGTATGCGCTGATCGAGTTGCTCCTACAAAAGATAATAAGAGCTTTAGTTACGTGTGTGTGTGTGTGTGCAACTAACCAAAGCGTGAGTTAGTGTGTGCAACATATCTCTTGCCTTGTTGACATGTAGGTGTTAAGCGTGTCATGGTGGTCGACGACAATGGGTATGCGTTAGACTAGAAGCGGTGAAAGGTGGACATGAAGGTTTGGATAGAGTGCCAGAGGATGGACCATGGACGGCTAGCAATTAGACACATCAACAAGCAACTGTACATATGAGGATGGTGATGGATATAATGTTGATCAAAGTCAAGACGATGATTAGACCAAGTCAAGGCGGGTGTGCAAGCACTGGTGATAGGCCGATCAAGGACGAGTGGTACACACATTGATATCGTGGAAGAGTAGCGGCTACGTGACTCCAGTTGGTTTGGCGATTTTGGCGTCAAAACCATGCGGGCAACATATTTACTAGATTTGGACCTCAAAACTCGAGGGAGGATTCAAGGTGGCACCTAGTGACATATCTGAGTTAGCATCAAGGCTAAGCGAAAGAGAGGAGGAATCGTGGCCGCTGGATGTGTATCAGATGTACTTTTATGTAGTATGGACCATAGTCCCAAAGTAGTCGCAAAAAGAAAGACCATAGTCCCAAAGTGAGTTAGTAGGCTTAGTATAAGCTTAAGGATAGTTTTGGGTATGTCCAAACGCCTATAAATATGGTAGACGGCTCGTGTTAGAGAGTATACTTGAAATACTAGTTTCATTTGCTCTAGGTTGACCATGTGCTTAGAGAGACGGTGATTAGACGTAGGGTGAGTGGGATCCTCTAGCTTTAATTTTTCATCTTTCGATGGAGGATGAAGGTTGACGGCTAGCAGTCTTTGTATATATGAATTCCTGATGGTTTAACTGAAGTTGGTTTGCTGAAATTCGTGTTCAAGTTTCTCCTTCCTCTCCAAAGCTGAAATTTCTCTTTTTTGGGTTTTTTCGGAGCTATTTTTTTGTGATTTTTGTTCTACTGTTTTTGCTGGGTTATAGGCTTGTTTTCGTAGTGTTTTGGTATTGGAGCTTGCTCAAATCGTAGCTTGAAGCTTAGCACCTATCTCCAAAACTCCTCTTTTCAAACCTCTTTGTGTGAATTTCTTAAAGATCTTTGGAGTGAGGTTTTTGAGGTGCTCTTTGTTGGTTCTTAGGTTTCATGAGGTCTTGGAAATATGGCTAGGCTTTGCTTCCGATAGATTTCCCACGAGCATCTTCAAATCATTCAGTTACGGAAAATTAATAAAATCCTAATTTGAGAGTGAATTTTTAAAGTTCGCGACCAAGCTTTGGGCTTTTTGACAAGATCTCTTTCGGATACAATCACCATGTCTGTCATTTAAACTTCGTTTGATTGAGTTGTGCAATTTTGTTTCTTGCTTTCGCTTGCTGAAATCTGCCACTTCGGAACTTTCGCACGTGAAAGCGGAACTTCTGCTCTTGAGCTGAAATTTAACTTCCTGAGTTTCAAGGTCTTTCTCTGACTTATTCTTGCTTCCGTTGATTTAGGCCTAGCATTGTCTCTAAGTTCAATAGTCTTGCTGTGGCTATGGAAATTTGAGTTTGGTAGAATACAGGAACTTTGGAGTAAATAACTTAAGATAGAGGTCAACTTCTTTGAAAAAAAAATAATTGGTTCCCATTTACCCTTCTCTAGTTGTAAGTCCTTTGGCTTCACAAGATGATCTAGCCTTTTAAAAATACGTACTCGGCAAGTACACACCAACAAATTGAAGCTTGAGCCAGATCAAGAGACGATGAGGTCTCGTTTTGAGAGAGCGGGCTGATAGAAATAGTGGAAGTGAATTGATCCGTATCTAGGGTGGTAGCTTCAAAAAATTGTCTAGACCAAACATATATTTGGACGCCTAAGACCACTGTTGCCCCTCCAACCAAACAGGTCCTAAAAATATTTTGGTCCTCTCTCTAGGCAAATAAAAGCATTTTGATCATTTCTCCATGTAATGATGGAGAAAGAAAAACAAAAATGTTATATAATATATGTGTGTTTTTTGATTTGTTGGCACATGGATTTTCTGTCCGTCAGATCGTCTCATGCGCGTCTGCTGGACGTTGAATGTCGTCTGCTGTCTTTGCCTCTGACCTGTGACCTAGATGTCGACGCTAGTTTTGATTTTTTGGGAGTCGCGCCCGAGTTAGTGGCGTCCGTCCCCCATTTCCATTTCGTTTTGGCTTCTTCTAGGTGACTGTAGGCGATGCGCCGCTCTCGGCGGCCGACCGGCGATTTATAGGGTTCGTCGAGCTAAGTTCTCTCCGCTCCCTTCGTGTCTTCCATGGATGCTAGGGCCGACCGGCAATTTCTAGTGTGTTTTGGTTTGTCCCCTTTCTTCTTAATGTTGTTTTCCCGGCCGTCTCCGACGAGCGTCCTACTAAGAGTACGCCGCTGCCGCGCTCTTTCTTGCCCCGTGGCGCCACGCCGTGACCCCGCCGCTCACGGGAATGATGTCCCAGCCCCCGCCTGCCTCCACCGGCGGAAGCCCCCGGACCCTGGCGCCGTTCCAGCCCTCAGACCCCGGCCTCCACCGGTGGAATCGCCCAGATCCTGTCGGCACTCTCCGCCCATGTCGTCCCCCGGGCTGCACCGGCGGAATCCGCCGGATCCCGTCGACGCTCTCCACCCAGGCCGTCCCCCCGGGCTCCATCGGCAGAACCCGCCGGTTCCCGGCGGCGCTCTCCGCCCAGTCCGTCCCCCGTGCCGCGTAGAAATCTATTGTGCATTTCCCATAATCCAAACGGCTCGAAAGAGCACGTACACTCATTCCTTTTTCTTTCTCCCATTCATCCGTTCCACCCCCATCTCTCTCTCATTTGTTTCCTTCGGTGACGAATAGGCGGGTGCCGCCGCCCTTCGCCAGGTCTTCACCTATGACGAGCATCCACCAGGTACGCCTGCCTCATTCTGTCCCCTTCCTGCTGTGCGAAGCCGAGCACCTCGAACTCTAATGTAAGCTATTTGTTTCGGATCTGACCCCAATATACGTATACACATGATACCTGCTAACTTTGAGTTTTTGCGAACATTATCGGGTGGTCCGCCTGAGACAAATCTGGTATTGCTGCTTATGGTTTGAATTGTAATCTTTCTCTGTGACCTATTTTGCCTGTCCCGTCGCTGATCCTCGTTGCATTTCATTGAGATGGAATGATTCTGTACTAGTACAATTGATGTATACCATGTGATGGTTCTGCAGTTGATCTTCTGGCTAGAAAATCACATTGATCGTGGTGAGTAGGGGTTCTACCATCGGTAGCCTCATCTCAAGGAGCAAAATTCTTTCATGATCCCTTTAAACTGGAGGGCAAGCCTGCCCAGGGCTGGTAGATCTCGATGCCCCTTTCTCGGTTATTACTGTTGCTTTAGATATACTAGTGACTAGCGATATGCACTCTTAACCCCCACGGCCCTTTAAGCATGTGTGCCCACCACCACTGGCTTTGTTTATGTTTAGTTGGACCATCTAATGCATTCCCCCATGAAGGAAACTGAATATATTTTAGTGCTCCACTCGAAAAGCTATCCTTTTTTTGCCTTACAATGGGATTCACTTGGTGTACAAAGCACATGCTAGCTTTCAAAGGTGCTATTTAAGCACTTCTATGAGTGGAACTGTGATTCTGTATGGCAACTAGTATATTTTCTGATAGTATTTTCCTTTGTTGAATGTTCCTGAGCAAAAGTTCCTTTCTGCGATCCAAATGATGTGTTTCTTCTACCTGAAGTAATACTTGTTATGTGCACATTAAGATTTCAGTTGCTAGAAAGACAGGCAAGTGGAGCTAAAGCTATTAGGTGCAATATTTCAATCGAAGTCGGGTGGATGTGTATAACTCTTTATTTATATTTTTAGATATATCTGTAAGCAAAGAGCAGCCACTTTGCTAAGATCACATTCCAAGTCATTGCCAGAGTATACTTATGCTGCATATTATAAGTAACAGCAGGGTTATTTGGGTATTTATCTATCTATCTATCTGATCATAAGTGTGCTTCATTTGTAATGATTGAATGTATGACTGGTCCCTTTGTATGTTTCTCTTGTTGACAGGGATGGAGTACTTTGATGCAAGGCAGAAGCCTCATAATGTTGGGAAAATCATTGCAGCCCTGGTCCTCACAACACTCTGTATATTTGTTCTGAAGCAATCTCATGGTTTTGGTGGCAATAGCGTGGTAAGACTTTTCCATCCTATCATATTCCTTTCAATAAACTTTTCCAACCCACCTTCTACTCATGTTTCATATCATAAATTACAAATCAATTAATGTTCCTGTAGATAGTAACTTTGTAACCTCTTCTGAGACTCCCTCTCCTTTTGTTTTCTTGCAATGCACTTCATCAACTAGATATGTTAGTTTGAAGAAGTTTTAGAACATGCAGCAAAGCTTGTCTGGTATCTTGTCATGGAATACGCACTTGGGTAATGAGAAAACAAAAGTGAAGAGCACCATCCTACTCGTTTCCCTCACATATCTCTGTACCTTCTTGTGGTGGTGCTAGCGAGCAGATGACGAAAGATCGAAAGTGACATCCCTCTAGCCAATAGTCTTTGTTCTTGCAGTTCCTTTTACCCTAGGCCATGTTCCAACTTGATCTTTCATGCATGTGTTTGTTGCCACTGCTTGGTTGTGGCAGTTAAGGCCTGAGTGACATCATGACAATTTTAGCTATCTGACTATCTGCCTAGAGTTGGTGTTTTGTTTCATGGCACCCCAGCAATCTAGATAATTAATGCTGATTTGTGCTTTGTATACAAAACTTAGATGAATTTGATAGTACTCCGATTCCCAACTTTAAAGCTGACTGTGGTGTGTATATTCCTACAGTTTTCTCGCCATAAACCTAGGGTTACCCATGTCTTAGTTACAGGAGGAGCTGGTTATATTGGTTCACATGCCGCTTTAAGGCTCTTAAAGGATAACTATCGAGTTACCATTGTGGTAATCAAGTTTTTCTTTGTACTAAATGTGTGAACTAATTGTTATTTAAGCGTTCTGCTGATGCACAGTTTGGTTCATCTTGTAGGATAATCTATCTAGAGGAAACATGGGAGCAGTAAAGGTTCTGCAGGGCTTATTTTCGTAGCCTGGGAGACTACAATTCATCTTTGCTGATCTGGGGGACGAGAAATCTGTATCCTCATTTATGATTCTAAAGCTGCTTTGCTTGTGCCTTTTCTGCTTATGGAGAGTTACATCCAAAGTCTTCTTTTCACTTAACTAGCTCCCAGGTCAACAAGATATTTGCTGAAAATGCATTTGATGTTGTGATGCACTTTGCAGCTGTTGCTTATGTGGGAGAGAGCACATTGGAACACCTTAGGTAAGTCTATTGTTGTTACCTTGACACTTATATTGATATCGAGGATCATCTTATTCTATTCTACATAAAATGTGGGGATCATCCAGGTTTTTACACCTTTATGCATTCTCATATAGAATGGCCTGAACATCCATGGCCACTTGGCCAGGGAAAACAGCATTAAGTATATTACCTTGTGCTGGCCTTCCTGTTGATTTTTTACTTAGCTCTAATGACACCTCTCTTTCTCTCTGACTAAACAATGTATTAAAACAAATTATTTTGTCTTAATTGGTGGAACATAGTAATGTTAGTGCTGTGATCATGGACTTACTCCTATCAATATCTTACCACAGATCTTATTTAATCCTCATTTTTTTATGTTTGAATTCTAATTTTTTCTAGAGTTGTAGCAGTTGAACCCCTTGTGATAGTGAGCTTTTAAGATCCCAAATAGTGTTGTTAGGTTTTTCGTGCTAAATGGATGCAGTTATACAATTTTTTATTGCACATTTATTAGTAGTAAATTGCACACTTCAACTACTGCAATTATGGTGCATAACATGTGTAATATCTGGTCTTTATAAATAACTTTGTCACTATTTTAATTAACTTAGAGCATGCAATTGTTCTTGCTTTAGGGCATCGATATTCTTCTGGATGGGCTATTTGGGACTAGAAATGGGTCCTTTGTTTGAGTGTAAGCACTAGACAGTACATTTTTAAGGAGTGCATCGCATTTCTATTTTAATACAAGTCTTCTCTTTAAGGAATAGATCTAATTCGGCTTGAGAATTAGTGTGTGTTTGTGTCTTTAGAATGCATTTGTGAAGCTGGTAGGGTAAAAACTTTGTAGTGGTGCCAAAATGCTAATCCGAGGCCCAACATATATTTCCACATTTTTAATTTAAACATTTTCTAGCTAATCTGAACGCACGATAATTAGTTTGGGTTTGACGTTGCGGTTGCAGCTTCAGTGTAAGAACCAACCATTTTCCTGATCCTACACTTATTGAAAGTCATGAGCTTACTTTGTTGCTGTCCAGGTTGTCTATATACTAGACCAAGTTTGTGCACTAGAAAATGAGATGGTTCTTCGTTTAAAGAAACAAGGGCTTGACTGTCTATGTAAGTGTATTTTTATTTTAATAATTCTTTTATTTTTAGCATCTGTTAGGATTGTATATTCTCTCTGTACATGCTGGGCTAAGTTCATCGTACCAATTATTGTGTATCTTATAGGCTGCAGATAGCATATTGATGAAGAAATCTGCTGCAATCATGCTTAGTGGAAAGAAGCCAATCCAGGCCGCGGTTACTTTGGTTGGCTTTGAAGATGTGCTTGAAAATTATGAAAAATCAATACAGAATGTAGTTGCTGACCAGCTTAGTTGCCTGCAGTCTCTGTAGGACCTCTTCAGGACACCTAAGACTGTTGCAAAATTTTAGGTGAGGTTGTTGTTTTTCAAGTTGACATATGAAGTTATTGAAGTTCATGGACCTTCTTCTTGTCCATAGCTGTTGTAGTTCACTGGTGGTGTTGAAGTTGTTGTAGTTCGTCTGTTAATTGTGTTTTGTGCCTGCCCACACTAAATTTTTGTCCTTGTCCTTTTATAGAAAAAAATTGTCTCATGATTTGTGCTAACACATCTTGAACTTTGTTAATTATGATTTGTGTCAACACACATCATTTGTCCTTGTCCTTTCATAGAAAAAAAATTATCTCCTGTGATTTATGCTAACACATCTTGAAACATGTTAACATGTTACGTAACTGAACCCTTGATCTGTCAGACCTTTTGTTACAGAGAAGAGGCAGTCTGTAGCTAACCGGATCAGAGAGAAGTACCTTGACAGAATTCCAGTAAACTTCTACCCTCCTGTATGCATTGTTTTTTGTTTGTGTTGATTTACTCAAAATCCTAAAATATTCTCTGTCAGTGCGTCCGATCTGCAGCTTGGCCGTGCTGTGAATAGACTGCTATAGATGCTCTGAGCATATAGTATCTCCTCAGGCCTATCCACTAATGGATTAGTGGCATTTATTGTTCTTGTCCATAATAGTCGCAGTGCTCTGTTCCTATTAATCTGTTCTATTCAAAAAAAAACATTTAGTTACTTAATAATTGCAACCAGCAATGTTGTAAATTGCAATTATTGAGCACTGCAATTTTAGTGTTGAGGATATACAATATGTTCCTTTTTACTTTCAGGGGTTGACTATTAATAAGGAAATCATTCTTCCACGAGAATCGTTCCAACTTTTTTGATCTGAGTTTTGTGTAGTGGGTTGTACATGGTATAGTTGAACTGAGCGGTTTGGGATTTATAGTTTGTCTGTTTTCCACATTTTCTACAATTGTGTAATGTCTTACTGGGCCATAACTTTTTGTTTGTTTATTGTGATTTGTGCTAACCCACACCATAGTTAAATTAGTAATAATACTAGTACTTTTCTAATAGCCAGAGGCAAATCATTTCCCCCTTTCATTACTGAAGATGCACTTGCACGGCAATGCTCAGTATTTAGTTCTTCAAAGTTGATATTAGAGGCAGAAGTGTTCTTCAGTATTGCTGTTGCTGTGTCGTTTAAGTTCTGTAGCCGTATGCAAAGCTAATCTGCACTTTACATATAGTTTACTACCATGTTTCAGAGATTTCAGGCTACATCCCTCAATAATAATTTAACTAATTCTTGGTAGGAGGCTGTTGGAGATTTTAGACATTTATTTTCAGTGCTTGTCATAGATCTGCTAGATTTTTAGATATTTATCTTCCTATAGAAAAAAATTGTTAGTTATGATTTGTTCCAACACATTTTAGAAATTTGCTAGTACAGGATGATTGAGTCCTGCACTGATGAAATGTAATAGTATAATTTATGTTTCTTTGTTTGGTGGGTAGGTAAGTGGGAGAAAACTGGTAGTATTAGCTAACTACAGAAGTTGAAATTGCTCTGTTGTTATTATTACCTGCTGCTGATGAAAACAAGACAAATATAAAATTCGGTTATACAATTGCAATCACCGATAATGTAAATTGCAGATATTGGGCACTGCAATTGTAGTTCTTAGCATGTGTAATGTTAGTTCTTAGCATATGTAATGAATCAGTTATTAATCATGAATATTAAAATATCGAACCTTTGTCTGATGTATAATAGATTAATAGTTCTGATTTCTGAAGTAATTTGGGCTGGGCCCTTGTATTTTTTACTTCACTATTTCTGAAAATAATTTTTTACAACCATTTCATCGCTATTGACTGAATTGATTTCTTCTGTTTGTTTCAACATAGTGCCACTAAATCATTCTCTGTTCTTTTATTACATTGATATCTAAATACATTTTTCCTTTTTCCATTTCCAGGGTGGATTCTTTGTGTATGACATTTTTTGGGTGTTCTTCACTCCATTTATGATCAGTGTGGCTAAATCTTTTGATGCTCCGATAAAGGTCAGTGCTCTTTCCTACTGAATTTGGTCTTTGTTAGTACCATTGTCAGTTAGTTCCATTTTCTCATCTTGATGCTTCAGCTGATCTAGGCTTTGTTTGGTTATGTGCAGCTTCTGTTTCCAACTGCAGATGCTGCACGGCCATTCTCCATGCTTGCCTAATGGAATTTGTGTGTTGCATTCTCTTAAAACACATGTTTTTTCGGTGTTTCAATTCGTGTGTTTCTTAGGCATCTAACAACCATGTGCTAACTAGTCCAAAAACATATGGTTTTTCCTATGTTGAAATCTGTGTGTTTTATATACAGCCAACAACCATGTGTTGGCTTATGTTAAAACACACGTGTGTACAGTAGACAGGCTCAAGAAAAAAGGGGCCAACCACACGTGGACTACCGAGAGCCTCCCAGGTGCAGGAACCCGGGATCAAACCATGGTTGGCTAGCTCCCAAACTAGAGCCACGACCGTGATGCTACTGCGTCGTCCGCTGTGGCAATTGTTGTGCCACCGGATATAGACACGTAGGTGGGGCTTGTGGTGTGGCTAGAGATAAACATAAATGGTAATGCTCTCCTCAGGGTGTCCGTCTATTCGGATGTCGCGCTTCCTGGGCCTGTGCATTACTGGCCCAACAACGTCCTCTCTCTCTCTCTCAAAAATGTCTCTCCTACATCCCACTCCTCACCGAGAGTCATCCCCTCCACTCCATTCGTTCCTTTCGAAGCAGATAAGGCTTGCCGCCGTGCCCGCACCCGACCACCGCCAGCCATGGTTGGTGTCACCGTAGGCTTCTCCCTCGTGCTGGCAGTGTCCCGCGTGTCTTTCTGACCCGGCGCCGCCTTCCATGCCCCGAGCCCCTCCTCGTCAGTGCAGTTCCCGGCCAGGCCGTGGGCCTGGGCGCCGCCGACGAGGCTCATGGTGTTCGCGCGGTACTCGCCCTCGTATGAGAGCGAGGAGGAGGGGCTTTGGGACGACAGAGGCTGTGGGGAGGAGGGACCCCGAGCTTGCTGGCTACCGCAGTTCCCCACTAGGTAGACCGGCGACGCTAGCTGTGTTTCAAGTGTTTCAAGCGCTTCGGCGGTTTAGACTCACATTGCAAGTGTTTCATCTAGATGCTGCAAAAGTAGATCCTAGGATGTTGCATATGTTGCAATGACAATATACGCATGTTGCAAGCTTATGTTTCAAGTGTTTCGGTTGTTTTTAGACATGTTTCAAGTATTTCATTCGGATGTTGCAAGAGTATATCTAGATGTTGCATAATATGCATGTTTCAAGCGCATGTTTCATGTGTTTCATACGTATGTTGCAAGTGTTTAATCTGGATGTTGCAAAGGTAGATCTGGATGTTGCATATGTTGCAATGGCTATACACACATGTCATTGTATATTTCAAGTGATCTGTATGCAGTCGTATGTTGCAAGTGTTTCAATTGGATGTTTGAAAAGTAGATATGGGAGAGCACATGTTGGGATGGCCGTGGTGCTTGGTGGACAGCGGCCTGCCACAGCCGCCTGCTACTGCTACTGGGGCGCCGTCGCGGGTCACCGTGTGACGCTTGAGGCCGGTAGACGCCTCCGCGGCACGCATCCATAGGTTAGGTGAGGCGGATGCGCTCCTGTTTGTTACGGCCCTGTTACGCGGGCGTGGCTGGCGCGATGCGTTCGAACACTTCCTTGACCGGACGTCCGGGCGCTAGCCCTCTCGAAACATAAAACAGACGTCGCTATGGAGAATACCGGGAGCTATATATTTTAATTCTCTTTAAAAAAAAAAGAATGCACACTCATGCTCCGTGCTAGTTGGAACATGTAAAATGCAGAACGCGAATCATATGCATTTCCTATTTATTCAGTTCCATGCTGAACACCGACAAATGGGAGAAGACAGTGCACTATTTGTTGCTGTCATTCTTGCACACTGAGCTTAGATGCATCGAGGATGCGCAGTCGATGCTGCCGTCGAGTATATCCTCCATCCGGTACTTGTATCTGAACCCCAGCTCGCCCAGCTTGTCGCTGTGCGCTTGCACGCTCGGCAACACCTCGGTCCTGACACCAATTCACTCGAAAATTTTACAACAAATCATCTTGCCAGATTAAGAAACAATCCATGGCCGTTCTTGGCAGGATGTTAGTGGCAAATAAAGGCTCACTCTTTGCGGGTGTCGACGAGGTGGGGGTACTTGGCGGCGAAGTGACCGACGACGTCGCCGAACGTCGGGTACGCGGCGGCGCAGAGGAACCTGCCGGCCATGGCCGGCCGCTCCATGCAGAAGACGAGCGCGTCGCAGACGTTGTCCACGTGCGTCACCGGCACCGAGCCAGCCAGCGGCTGCAGCAGCCTCAGCACCGCGAGGAGGCGCTCGTCACGGGTCACCGGCGACACGAGGCACTCCAGGGAGAACGTGGCGTGGGCCTGGAGCGTGTCGCCGGCCACGACGGAGCAGGGCACCGTGATCACCTCTAACGCCGAGCTCTCGACGGCGTTGTAGGCCAGCAGCTCCTTCTCCGACATCAGCTTCGACACGACGTACTCCTGCAGGTGATGACTGATGAGGATGGAGTACTACCTTGTCATCGTCGTGGGTTACGACTTCAGAAATCGTCGATTTTGAGCACGACTAAGAACCAGTTGCACACGTCGAAATCTGGGTTTCGGAGAGGGTAATCGACGTTGAGCGGCGTCCAGCAGGATTCGTCGACGGCGTCTTTGAACCCGGTGGAGTCCTCCTTGAGCGGCGAGCACGCCACCATGCTGCCGGTGTGGATCACGCGCTTCACCGTCCTGGATTCCTCGCACGCGCCGCGTCCAGAGCTGCCTCCGCCGTGCTCTTGTACTGCACGCGTGTCGTGTGCCGGCCAAGCACAAAACAAAAGAACTCAGGAGTTTTCTTCGTCGAAGGAACATCGGGTAATTCGGGCGCGCTGTTCTCACCTTGGTGCTCGTGGCGTCGTGCTGCAGCGGCGTGGCGACGAGGAAGACGAACTGGCACCCGGCGATGGCCGGCGCGAACGTGGCGGCGTCGTAGAGGTCGGCCTCGAACAGCACCAGACGCCCGGACTCCGCCGCGCCGGGGACCAGTCGCCGGAGCAGTCCCGATTTCTCCTCGTCCCCTGGAATCGTACACTAAAATCCGTCACCCAAATACGCCATTACGCCAAAGCAGAGCATATCAGTTAGCACAAAATTAATCAATGGATCGATCTGCGCGCTTGCATACCGATGTTCCGCAGCGTGGCGTGGACGGTGTAGCCTCTCTCGAGGAGTTTCTTGACAAGCCAGGAGCCGATGAACCCGGCGCCTCCGGTGACGCACACCCGCACTCCATTGCTGCTGCCCATTCTTCCCTCCACTGACGTGGACCCCGAACCTGCCCGATGGAGAATGGGTGGACGGTACCAAAAAGATGGGAGCTAGGCGGCTAAAGTTGCCGCATTTGATTATCGCTAATCATGGCGCATGACCTATTCGAATTATTTTAAACCTTGTACACTGACATGTCAAGCCACAAGTTAGACTAAGATAGACATATTAGGCTACCGCAATGTATAGCATTGACCATGTTTTCATACCATGATGTGACGTCTTGTATGTTAAAATAGCTCTAATGTATAGAATCAACTCTAAATTTATAGGTGGAACACACCAAAAAAAACTTGCTTCTTTGATGAAATGTCAAGGAAACAGTAGTTCAAAACTGAATTTAACTAGGTATTATAGAATTTGGTAATAGATTAATATAAAAGAGTAAATAAGGAGTTGAATCAAATGAAGGTCCAAACCTTCTTTGACAAAATGTTAAGAAATTGATACTCCGTCTTGGAACAGTGACGGACCCAAAGGATAGTCCAAGTAGACCCCGAGATCTACTAAATCCGTTCCAATTTACAGTTCGTTTGACTTTTTCATTTCAAGTTTGACCACTCTTCTTATTCAAAAAATTATGTAAAAATATCACTTCTTTTGCTGTGGCTTGCTTTATTAACAAAAGTTCTTCAAGAATGACTTAAATTTGACTATGTTTACACAATTTTTTTTAATAAGACGAGTGGTCAAATTTGGGGTTGAAAAAATCAAACGAACTATAATTTAGAACGGATGGAGTACCATACAAACTGACACAACATTTAATTAGTACTCTGCATTTTCAGTCCATATAAGGCCTTGTTTAGTTTCAAAAACTTTTCCCAAAAAGTGCTACAGTAGCATCACATCGAATCTTGCGATACGTGCATAGAGCATTAAATATAGACGAAAAAAAACTAATTACGCAGTTTGGTTGGAAATTGCGAGACGAACGTTTTGAGCCTAATTAGTCTATGATTAAACACTAATTGCCAAATAAAAACGAAAATGTTACAGTGGCCCAATTTCCAAAATTTGGCCAACTAGACGAGCCTAAGTTTAGCCCACCAAACAACACCACAATACGCCTCTCCTACCTAGCTGCCCAAGCCGCGAGCCAAGCGCAAGCGGCTGCCGGCTGAGCCTCCGAGCGGCACCCCCGCTTCCACGCGTGGCGCACCGCCAGGGACTCCAAGCCACCGGCCGCCTAGTTGATTGTCCCAATTCAGAGATTCTGAAAACCCCCCACCCATCCGGTCTTGTCTGAAACTCTAAGTTCGTTTTCGATCGTATGCTCTCTTGTGAGTGTGCTCTCCCAAATCACATTCTCTTAAGCCCTATGGTAATAGGGTTTGGACATTGGAATGTAAAATTGGGTTTAGGGATTTGTATATGTGAAATTGGTGTGTGATTTATTAGAGTTGGTGTGAATTGCATGAATTTTGTTACAATTTTATCGTTGTGTATACCAAACTATATAAAGTATTTTATATCCGAGTTACTGAATTTTCTATTGGATTTTACCATATTGCATATGAAAATTTAACTACGATTACCCTAGATTCAAATCTTGGATCCGCCATTGTCTTAAAAATACGAGAATCCAAGTAAATCTTGGTGTGGCTTCGTATGGAGATTGTTCATTTCATTCCGGTAGTTTGACACTAGCAAGAAAATTTAGGCCCTCACGTTCAGAAACGAAAAGGAATGAGGAAAATTCACGTTACATATAACTGCATGAACTGACAACTCATTATCTCCTTACATACGTGATACTTCCGCAACATGGAACATGTAAAATGCAGAAAATCCATCATATGCAACTACTGTTTTTTTTAACACATAACTACTGCTTATTTGGGTCCGGGTATAAATATACATATGCGCTGCAGAGACAAATTTCTGTTCTTGTGATTAGTTTATCTGTGTTATCGTTCTTGCATGCTGAACTTGGATGCATCGAGGCGACCAAATCTTACTGCACAGTCGACGCTGCCATCAAGTATCTCTTCCATTCCGTATTTGTATCTGAATCCTAGCTCGCCGAGCCTGTTGCTGTGAGCCTGCACGCTAGGCAACCCGAGCTCCGTCCTGAGACACCAAGTCAGTAGAAATGCTGTCCGATCATGCAAACTAAACCATCTTGGGGCACAATTATTTTCTCGCTTATTTTCATGGCAAAAACAGTCCATAGTAGTAGCCAAGGCTCACTCTCTAAGTAGGTCGAGGTGCGGGTACTTGGCGGCGAAGTGACCGACGATCTCGTCGACGGTGGGGTACGCGGCGGCGCAGAGGAACCGGCCGGCCATGGACGGCCGCTCCATGCAGAAGACGAGCGCGTTGCAGACGTCGTCCACGTGCGCCAGCGGCACCGAGCCCATCAGCCGCTGCAGCATCCTGAGCGCCCCGAAGTGGCGCGCGTCGCGGGTCACCGGCGACGTGGCGGACTCCAGCGCGACCGTGGTGCGGCCCTGCAGCGTGTCGCCGGCCACGACGGGGCAGGGCACCGTGACCACCTCGAACGCCGGGCTCTCGGCGGCGTTGTAGGCCAGCAACGCTTCTCCGACAGCAGCTTGGAAAGGATGTACTCCTGCAGGTGACCAGGTGCCGCTTGTCACCGCCGACGCCGTGGACTATGGCGGCTGAGATTACTAGTTTCGATAAGGATTCGTTCGGGAGTTGCTGCGCACGCACGCACATGGAACTGCGGGTCCCGGAGAGGGTAGTCGACGTCGAGCGGCGTCCAGCAGGATTCGTCGACGGCGTCCTTGAACCCCGTGGAGTCTTCCTTGAGCGGCGAGCACGTCGCCATGGTGCCGGTGTGGATCACGCGCTTCACCGTCTCGGAGTCCGCGCACTGCCGGAGGATCACCCGCGCCGCGTCCTGAGCCGCCTCCGCCGTGCTCTTGTACTGCTCGGTGCGTGCCAATCAGTCGTAAAGAGAATTTCCTTCAATACCGCGATTGTATTGGGACTTTGGGTACGGTGGTGATGAACCTGACCTTGGCGCTCGTGGCGTCGTGCTGGAACGGCGTGGCGACGAGGAAGACGAACTGGCACCCCGCGATGGCCGGCGCGAACGTGGCCGCGTCATAGAGGTCGGCCTCGAACACCACCAGGCGCCCGGACTCCGCCGCGCCGGGGACCAGCCGCCGGAGCAGCCCCGATTTCTCCTCGTCCCCTGCAATCAATCAATCATGCACTAATCCGTCACCGTAATACTGCTAAAGCAGAGCATGTCAGTTAGCACGAGATTAATCAATGGATCGATCTGCGCGCGTGAGTGCAAACCGATGTTCCGCAGCGTGGCGTGGACGGTGTAGCCTCTCTCGAGGAGCTTCTTGACGAGCCAGGAGCCGATGAACCCGGCGCCTCCGGTCACGCACACCCGCACTCCATTGCTGCTGCTGTTCTTGTTCTTCTCCATTGCTGTCAAGCACAAGCTCGTGCTGCCCGATGCTGAGAAGGATGTACGGGACGTCGGGACCTGACCACTTGCGGAGAAGATAAGCTACCAGACTGCTGGAGTTGGCACATTTGACCTTTCACAGTGGAAAGTACAGTACAGATGAATAATCTATTGGACTTTTTTGTTGTAGGTTTTGTTTTCTTGGACTGAAATGGATGGATCGTGTGGAAACTGGAAAGCGGCGAGACTTCGGGTGTAATGAGAGTGGACTGTTGACCGCATGTTTCGAGTGGGCCTAGGCTAATGCACAGCCTGTTCTGTCCTCCATGCCGGAGCCTGCAAGCCTGACGATCTATCACCACTCGGCCCAAACTGATAAGCCCAACTTGGATTCGGTCGAACAGATCCAGGCAGGTTAGTGTTGCTCAAAAAAAAAAAAAGATCCAGGCAGGTTAGGAGGACCAAGAAAGAAAAAAGAAGAAAGATGCAAGCTGAATGCGTTTTGGGACCAGGTCAGGTCATGCCCGCTGAGATCGACGTGTACCGGCCGCCGACTTCGCAGAGCCTCCATTGCGACACGTGGGCCGTGGAGCCGACACGTGGGAGGCGCCAGGAGCGTCGGCCGCCGTACGATGTCTGTGGCGCTCTCAAGAAAGCACGGACGGACACGTCACCACGCCGGCCGGCCGCTCCCTCTTTGGCTCTTTTATTGTCAGCTTCAACGTCTAGAGGCCGCCAAGGCACAGCCGCGTTCGGGTGATCTGTTATCTGCTCTGCACGCCGCTCGCTCCCGCGTCGGAAGAAGAGAGCCTCGTCGGGCAGTCGCGGCTCGCGAGAGTTGGGGATGGAGGAGGACGGCGGCGGCGGGAGGAAGCAGGACACGACGGCGGCAGCGTCCAAGGCGCAGAGAGAGGCCGCAGCGGCCGGCGTCTCCGTGCACGAGTGGCTGCAGCACGTCAAGGCCTCCTTCCTCGGCCTGGTATGCAAGTCTCGCTCGCTCTGTGCTGATACCGATCGACACGGGGACAGACCGCGTGACTGACGGGGGGTTATGATTTGGTTTCGTTGCGCCGTGCGTGCGTTTTCAGGTGGGCAAGGTGACGGCGACGAGCGAGCAGGAAGCGGCGGAGGCGGACATGCGCGCGGCCAAGGCGCAGGTGGAGGCAACCGACGAGGCGGAGGCCAAGAAGAAGCGGCTCGCAGATGGATGACCCATGAGGCCATGACCGATACTCTAGAATCTAGATTCAACTGAAAACAACTAGTACGAGTAGCTCGCTATCTAATTTGCTTCCTTGACGCTGTATTGTACATTTGTACTCCTGGTGATAACCTGGTGTAGCTCGACGCAAGCTGTGCCTCCTGTAGCTCGTCTTCGTGTAGTGGCGACAGATTCTGGATTTGCTGGCAGTCTGTTTGGATTGACCGAACATCTACCACTATGATTGTAACAGAAAACCTGTTCTTCAGTACTTACTGAACAGCATCTAATGTACAGTTATGTATCCACAAGCCCACAGCCTGCACTCAAATCAGAAAATCTCCGAGGCAGCGAGCGCCATGTCGCTAGGTGTCTTAGCACGCATGAGATGCATGTAACGTAACCACAAGCTACCAAGTTTACATCCAAGACGGCAGGGGATAAGTACATAGGCAGAAACACACCAGCCACCTAAAAGATCACTACAAGAGCCCATCCTAAAACACACTTTCTTTCGGTCTTTCCAAAGTACAACGCAGTCCCTGCTCAAGATGAGGAGTCAACTTAGTCACCGGTCACCACAGGAGACAGGACAAGTCTCGACGCTGACTACAGAGGCAATCAAGAGAAAGTCACATGAGCCTTGCAAAGAGAGTAGCAAGCGCTCATGCAAACCTTAAAATGTGCTTCCACACAGACACTCCAGTGAACCACAAGCCATCTGGTGGCACCTACCCGACATAAATACACAATATGGATGGATTCTAAAGCTCACCACAAGATACTGAAGCCCGGCATTGTAATCGCATAAAGCTATTGTTAACCAAAGAACACTGATGCAACGTGTTATTCCTCCTCCCGCGCAGGTTCTCCCAAATCAGTGGCTGCATCTGTGGTTTCGTCATTATGTCTTTCCTCAGCTGGAATTTCAATAGAGCTAATTTCATTTACTTCCCGAATCCCGAGCCATTTCTTTGGTCTTGGTTTCTGATGCACTTTCAACAGAAAATTCTTATTTGCCTTCTTTCTTGATTTCTGATGCACTTTAAACAGAAATTTCTTGTTTGTCTTCTTTCTTGATTTTTGATGGACTTTCGACAGAAAAATCTTATTTGCCTTATTTCTTGATTTCTGATGGGCTTTCAACAGAAAGTTCTTATTTACATCCATGACCACATCCACGTCAGTGCCTTCCTGCTTGGTTTCCCCAGCACAATTTCCGTTAACTTTGCTAGCAGTGTCAGAGTCTTCCTTCTTGATTTCCACAGGAATTACATTGCGACTATTTGTGTCTACTTCTTCGGACATGTTCGTGGCTTCCTTGATTTCCATAGGAATCTCGAAAGAACCATCTCCACTAAATTCACTGGTCATATATGTGTCTTCCTCCTTGAGTTCCTCTGGAATTCCAGCAGGGCCGTCTTCATTTACCTTCCTCTCACATGTAGCAACTGAATCTTCCTTAACTTCCTTGTTCATTCTCGCAGCTTTTATGGACGTCCAAACTTTATTCAATAAACTGTGCTTCTTGCCCCGCAGATGGTCAGCCATGGCAGCGGCGTTGGTACAACTGACCCTGCAGCGCTCACACCACACACAGTTGCTTTTTTGAACAACCTGATGCATTTCTCCATCGACCAGGATGTGGATTTTCTTAGGTGCATCACTTGGGCCTGCACCATTGTTGTTCCCAGTGGTCACTTGCAAGCCACTTTTATTAGCGTTGATCACCTTGATAGCTCCACATTGAACCAGCTTTGCCTTGTGCTTTTTCCCTTCAAGATGTTGATTCAGACCAGCCTCACTGGTTGCGCTCACTAGACAGAGTGCACAGCTCCAGTCCCTGACAACAGTTTGTTGTTTTGTTGGTTCAGTAGTTGCAGAACTCGCATTTTGTAGTTTTGTTAGTTTAGTAGTTGCAGAACTCGCATCTGCCTTCCTCTTCACACCAGAAGCCTTCGTTTCTGATGAAAGAACCTAAAATAAAAATTTAGGAAGAATTAGTGAAATCGAGGTGCATATGTAGCAAACTAAATGTAGAACTTACTGCTCTGAAACAGGAGCCTGATTGGATTATGTGACTCCAACTAAGGCCTTGTTTGGATGCGTATGTATTCATCTCAATCCATGTGTTGAATTAAATTAAATTCCATTCCATTCCACTCCAACACATGTGGATTGGAGTGAATACACATGCATCCAAACAAGGCCTAAAGGAATGCATGGGCACAAAACAATCAACAAAAAGATGCATCAGAAACCAATGAAGAGGCAGGAAGAAAAAGATTAAGGGGGCAAGGAAAATATTGCATAATTAAGAAACTGAAATCCACAGGGAATAATTTCTGTGTCATCTTAATCTGACCCTTCCTGATTCGATGCTAACAATTTTAGAGTTCTAAACTTAAAACAAACGGTGGTAAAAGGAATCAAGCTTGTTCACTTCTGAGTTCTGACACCACCATCCTTTTTTCTCCAAAGGGAATACTCGATCTTCTCTAGTTCTCCATACAAGTTTACCAGATATGTCGAAATGGTATATTTGACTTCAGAGTTCAATTACTCTCTTGATCTAATAATAATGGCAATGTTCTTTCTAGATTGTACTCACTTATAGAAAATGGCTATCATTGGCCTTTAAATGATGAGAAAAGCAAGTGCGTCACGTTTTTGAAGCGAGAATAACACCGAAGTGCAATAAGAAATTGAAAAAGAAGAATTTCAAAAGTAGTAATCCAGTAGCGCCTTTAATGCCAAATGCGGAAAAGAATCTGAACAAGCATCATGCATGGGCAGTTATAAATGGCAATTGTGCTCCCAGACCTCAGAGCTCTCGCTGGGCGCGATCTCCCGCAGTTGGAGCTGATGCCTCGGCTTCGGCGGCGGCAGGGCCCCCGTTCTCGTCTCATTGGGGTGCGTCGGTTGCCCAAATCCCGCGAGCCGGCGAGGGCCAAACCCCTCCCAGTCCCACGACCCGAACAAAGCCGGTGGCGGCCGGTTCGGATGCATGCCCACTGCCACCGGCGTCAAGGGCAGCGGCATTGGCGGCGTGAATGGGCCGTCGGGCATGTAGAACAGACCTGGGGGTGGTGGCGGCACGATGGTGGGTTCGTCGGGCCCGACGAACGGGACGGCGCCGAAACCGCCGTGGAAGCGGGCGCGCGCAAGGGCGAGCTCGCGGCGGACCTCCTCCTCGATGAGCCGCCGCTCCACCTCCTCGCGGATGATCCGCTCGCGCCGCGCCGCGGCCTCCCACTCGAACGGCGAGGGCGGCGGCGGCTCGCCATGGAAGGGCCCGGCTGCGCGGGAGCGGGGACTTTCAGAGGCTGGAAGTCTGCGGTCTCGATCGATCTCTGGATGGAAGGGCGCTTACCTTGCGGTGGTGTGAAGCGTCGGTCGGGGCCGGGGCAAGGGCGGCGCGGCCTGCGCTCGCCGGCGCGGAAGCCGAACTCCATGGCAGAGGGACTGCCTTTGGGATGGAATGGAAATGGATCGGTGCGTGCCTGCGTGGCGTGCGGCTTTTCGAGCGGCGCTGCACCTGCACAGCCTGCTCTAGCCGGCAGCCGCTAGTGCAGTCTGCTGTGCAGCCGCAGAGGCGGGCGCAGGCTTCGTCTTGGGAGGGATGAGTGGGTGAAGCCCAAAGTTTTGAGAAATGAGAATGGGGCCTTGTTTAGATCATCTTCAAATTTTAAGTTTTTTTTGCTCTCTCTCCGTCACATCAATTTTTGATGCATGTATAAAATATTAAATATAAGTAAAAAAAATAACTAATTACACAGTTTGGTTGTAAATCACAAGACAAATCTTTTGAGCCTAGTTAGTCCATGATCGAACAAAGTTTGTCAAATACAAACGAAACGTGCTTCAGTGTCCAGATTGCAAAAATTTGCAATCTAAACGAGGCCTGAGATCGTTTTGGCAAATTCCCCAGGATCATCGACGGCGCTTCAAAAGTGCACACGTCTCAATTCCTGAAGTAGCCCAAACTAGGCATCTGGCAGAATGTTCAGGTGTTCTTCACTGCAGATTGTCATGCAGGTGTCCAACTAGCACATGACACTCTCAAAGCTTCAAAGGGGAAGGGGGTGCAATTGCCATGCTGCTACAAGATTAGTACCTGTAGATGTCAAAACTCAAAAAGGGCAGAGCACAGGACCCGCTTGACCGGACAAGAACTATTGTAACATCATTTCCACCCAAATGTACAGTTAGGTGTTGTCAGATGACAAAAAATCACAACCGGAAGAAAACAGCAGGTTGGGTTACAGACAACAATGGAACAAAGAATATATCCTTTACGCCAATTCAACACATGGTTGGTATGTACATTGCAACATTGTCCTCCTGTGTTTACCGATGTCCAGCGTCAGGCCATGTACCAAGACTCCAAGAGCCATGTCTTCGCTATACCTGCTTATCAGAGCCGTTCTCCTCGGCCCCATTGATCATAAAAGGCTTTGTTAGCATCCGAGGAAGAAAGAAAGTTCGGTAGTGAAGAAAAAATAACAGTAGGTAGCATAATCAGAGGTGACTCACTGGGTCTCGGAGCATCCTGCGTCTCCAGCTGGTTGTTCTGCACCACCGGCGTCCTTGACCTGAGCAATCCGCTTCTTGAACTGCACCAGGATCATCGTCATGTTATCACATCCCTCACCGCCCATGGTCGATGGAGCCAGGCATCTATCAAGCACTCTTTCACATACTGCCGAAAGGCTTTCCTCCTGCACTTTGTAACCACTTTCCATGATTATTGCCAAAGATCAAGACATCCAAAGATAGTGTTGCATTTTTCGAAACGGAAGATAGTGTTAAAAAAAACTTGGTACTTACTGTGTTTATATGCTCACGGATGAAATCAACCAACTGTTGGCTTGACATGCAGTCCCTGATAGCCCAGAGGATATGGTTGTTACTTCTGACAAAAGGAATAAACAAGTTGAAGCCAGAAACTTGTTACTAGAGAGAAATTTACCAAATGCCATCACATGCCAAAACGATGAATTCGTCGTCATCACATAACTCGATCTGTACAAAAGAATAAAGTCACAATAACTATCAACAAGAAGGGAATGCTAACTTAATAGTCTACATTGCAAGCGTGAGAGGCAACTGCAGAATTTACTCACAACGTCTATGTCGGGGTTTGCGGTCAAAATTTGCTTATCAGGGGACAAGAACTTGTTTTGTTTAAACTCCATGTCTCCTAAAAAGGTATTTTGCATATGCAAGACATCAGGTAAGGTGAGAAGTATGAACAAAAAGAAGCAAGTAAAAAAAGAATACCAATAGCTCTTGACAAGTTTAAAGTTCCATTTACACGCCCCATTTGAATGTAACCCCCTGCACTTTGTATCCTTTCTCTCTCTGCCTCAAGCTCTGGTTTATGGTCTCTAGACAAATTGTATGCCTGTGTTATGTGGAAGAAGTATAAAAATGAGACGATTGCATATAAACTTGATGACGAAATTATACCACAATCGTTGTGCTTTGTTCTTTTTAATTAATGCAATTACCAGTAGGGGGTGACCCCTCCTGTTTCCTCGAAAAAGGAGTAACAACAACTGACCTGGCCATTCCTTGAGATGACACAGCGGGAGTCACCAGCATTTGCCACAACGAGTTGCCTATTTCTGACTAATGCTACACAGGCTGTACTCCCACAATTTGGCCCAGTAAAATCAGAGTGTGGTCCCTGATAAAAGAAATTTCTATAAGACTACCTGGGTGGATGGAATGTTCATTCCAACAAAAGAACTAGCAACAAAGAGAAATGCCAAAAATTGCCTTCCAACATAACAAGAGGCTCCAGTTCAAGACATTGGAACTCACTCTTCAAGAGTTAGCATTGTTAGGCAACACAGCCATCGATTTTAGGTGTTACAAGAATAAACTTCCTTCTTATGCATAGATATCCTTTTCAAGAGTTAGCATTGTTAGGCAACACAGGTATCGATTTTAAATGTTAAAAGAACAAATTTCCTTCTTACGCATACCCTTTTAGGTATTAAACCATCAGTGTTGCATGTCTACTCAAGAACCATAAGTCTACTCTTACACAAGTTTTTGCCATGAATGATTTCAGCAAAAAATAAAGGAGAAGAAAGAAACTTCATTAATAATAATCCAGTAATGCAACACTTTCAGAAAGAAATCCAATGACTGTGCCCAATTAATTAAAAAAAAGGAAGATGGCAAGTTCTCCTAGACATAGGAAAATGAGTATAGAATTATGGATTCATGCCAGTTCCACATGTACCTCCTCGAAAGCCCAATCATCATGTCTATCATTTGAATCACTTGCTTTAGGGGACCAAATCAAGCCTTCTATTATGCCAGTAAACTGATTTATCTTATCTCCAAGTGCTTGGAGTTCCCGCCATCCTCTTTGACCCCGCATCATTTCATCCATTCTGAAACAACGCAATCATAATTTCTGTTCACATCATTTGCTCCAAATTAGCAATGAAGTGGTGAAAAGGTAGACATGCTAAAATAAAAGAAGCTATTATACCTGAAGTAAGCTCTGTGGACAGCAGCACCCAAGTCACCAGCTGCATAGGCTTCACTATGGAGAACTTCTCTGTGTAGATATTTTGCACAGAATTTGGCAACTACTTTTCCTGAGGCAAGAAAGCAATATGAAGGGGTCAACAGCCCATTTTGGTATGATGTGGAATCAATCATAAATGCTGAAAAGGCACTGTTCTTTGCAGTTAGTTACCTCCATGTCCATCAAAAACACCAAAGAATGCAGTGTCATTGTCAAGATCTAGCAAAGCCGAGTGCTGGAAAAATGCACAATAGACTGAGCAAACACGATCATAATACACTAATAAAATTGATGGCATTCCATCCCCTTAAAAGATACAGATAAATCATATCAAGAATTGTATTAGTACAATGCTAAGAAAACAAATCACAGCTTCTCCTTTAGTAGTTATACTAAACAAGATATCTCATATACATTCAAATTCTATCCTCTCAATTGATTCCAGCCTTCAAGGTGGAGTATAGCCAATCTTTCAGTATGATGTCAAACACACTGTTTAACTTATGAAGCATTATCAATCCAACATCTGGAGAATATGGTGATGTAAACAAAAAAAAAGTGTTAACCCATTTTTTGTCATGCTCAACATCAGGAGGGTATCATGGACAATTGGACAGAAACAAAAACTCCCCATTCAACTGATGAATTAGCCAGGCTCAGTTCAACAAATAATTAATTTTTACACTCAAGTATTCGTTTTGGTTCAACATTCAACGAACACAAGACACCACTTCTCTCAGGTGCATAGCTCTGCTAAACAATGGAGTCAATAGCCAGGTATATCCTAAGCTATTTATTTAATAATATATGTGGTTGTCCACCAGTTCCCTTCACTATATTAAAAAAAGACAGCAATACTATTGGTGAAAAGACTTCGCACCAATATTTGGTATTTATTTTTTTCTTTACTTCCTCGGACATTCTGTGTGTTTCCATAATTACACCCAACTTGGACACTGAGAGCACATTTATATTTGGCTAATCAGACTCTTGACACCCAAGTTGGATTCCAAGTTATATTTGGAAAGTCCAGTAAAATCATGCTGAGTTGGATACCCGAGTCTGAATCAGATTCCATCACTTGTGTGTCCGTATCCGGATAAAACGTATAAGACTAGGAACAAGCAACAAAGAAAATCACAACAATCAAATGTAAATGATGAGTAGAAACTAGAAACTTACAGCATCTTCCATAGTTGCACGCCACCCTTGCATAGATGAAAGTCCGAATTTAAGTTTATCATTTTCCCCATCTTCAGATACCTTCTCAGTTTTCGGAGTGCTAAGGTAAACCCCCATTCTTCCAGATGTACCTGACGACAGAATATGACAGAGAAAAAGATCTGCTGCTCAATAACAAGCTATCGATATTAATTGCACACCGGATAACAAAAAAATCCCAAAAATAGAAAATTGAAGTTAGTAGGCATAATACATACGTACACTTGTAATTGTGTCAGATCCGAATACAACTAGCTTGCTTTAGGGTTTGGGTGCTCGGTTTCGAACGGCAGGAAGGACGAGAAGGGGCGAGCATACCTGCTGGGCGCCAGTCGACGGCGAAGGGGAAGGGGACGTAGAGACCTGGCAAAGGTAGGCGCTAGTCGCCGGCGAACGGGCCGACGAAGACCTGGCAAAGGGCGCCGTCGCTCGCCTGCTCAGTCGTCAGCAGGAGATGGGATAGGGTGTAATTTTTTAGGGAGGATGGAGGAACGAGGCCTGAACGGTACGAAGGAAGGAGCGGACAGCGGAGGGGTGAACCCGACAGGCAGCGGACCTTTTTTTTAATTTATTATTAATAATTAAATATATATTTTTCTATCTATATCAATTAGCACCTTGACTAGGCCGAATTTGGAAATCGTTAAACCGTAGAACAATACTCCTGTATCATACTCGTAGACTAGTGAAACGAATTTTGAAAAGCGTCTACTCGTTAGACGACAATCGATTTCATTCAATTCCAACCGAAAGTCGATCCATCTGGGGTCGTTTATAGAACGTTTTAAAAAAAATCATTTACCCCAACAACGGTTTCACACGTAGAACGTAGGATCTATTTAGTTTATGTCCCACCAAACAACAAGTCACTTCTGCCGTGCCACACTCACTTTAACCACCGTTTGCTTCTTGATGCATCTCTAGTGTGCAACACTCACTTCAGCCAATGTTTACTTCTTTGCATCTCTAGCTGTCCACACTTCTATATGCTTGTCTTTTGTGTTCAACAGTAGCTTTTGATGCTAGATTGCTGGATGAATGGACACCAGACTTTAGGCACGATCAGAGTTCAGTTACGGCAACCTACGGTCACAAGCCAATAGACTCGTAATCTTTTGAGTGGTTTTAAAAGAGCCGTTTGACCACTCACCTTGATGCATCTGGTGACGCCGAGCAACTAGCTGAGTGGCACCGGCCTGCTCTCTGGCGTAAGTGAGGCGAGGCTTGGCAAGCCAATGTTTGGGGTGTCACGCATTTGCATCTCGCTGGCTTGTCCATAGAGGAAACACTTCTATATGCATATGTGTCTGATCAGTTTTGGAGTAGGTATATATATTTGCTATATATTGCTTAATATTTTTTACATAGGTAATGACTTAGCGAAGAAAACCTAGAATAATGTTGGGTTAGAATTGATGAGGATAGAGTTAGGTTTAATTTTGTACTCACATTATAGGTACTAGGACGTCCGGTGCGCCCGCATAGGCTGAGCACCGGTAATGATACGCTGTAGCCTCTTTTCTTGTTTTGTATGTGTTCGGTGACTGGGTCTAAAACTAACAATTCCAAAGTATTTGTGAAGCCTACATCTAAAACACCAAAAATTTGACACTGCTTCAAAGATTTTATACAGCATAAGTAACACAGCAGAAGGCTCACTAAATGTTATACTGAAATAAGTATATACATAGACAAAAGGTTGGTATCTTGACATTCCAACATGGCGCACATCTAAGGTTATGTTCTGTCATAAGCAAACAGTAACGGCACACTTCACTTTTGTTTTCATCTAAGAAGAAATAGAGTCTCTCCTTTTGAAAAGCCGGAAAGTTTTGACTTCGTCCTTGTACTCGCTTTAGATAATAGGAGGCGCCGGAAGACTATAGGTCACTATGCTAGCTGAACCACCTGCAGATTAATTCCAGAGGCATAACTCAGTTGTTCTGAATTAGTGCAAAAAGAATAGCAAGTGCTTTGAGCCTGTAGCATATTACTACATGCATGAAAGCAAAAGAGTAGCAGCTGGCCTGTGCTACGAAAACAATCACAGGCATGCACAGGTGTGTGTAAACAGAAAGAAAGGGAGTATAAATGTGTACATGCGTATTTGTCAGGCTTTGTGCTTCTTAATTCTAGCTAAGCCAAAACCGTAAGTCTTTGCCAACAAATATAAAACAAATACCATCTAAGCAGAACAAGGTTATGAACTGTCACTTTTAACGTGCATATTAAAAAAAATATTTGAATCAATCAACTGTCTGTGTGGAAGAAATAACAATGAAAGTAAACGGCAATCCCCTGGATGAACCCAAAAAATTATTTCACCTAATCGACAGTGTGGCTTAACTACATTTCATCGGTAGAAGCCAAAAGGGAAAGCATAGGCTACTATAATCATCCAGCGAACATCATATGTTCTCCAATAACATAATAGTCTATTCATCCAGTGAAATGATACATGTTTTTGCCTAGAAAGGTATAGTGTAGTTAATCAGAAAATTGAATAAAGGGAATGAACAACCACCAGTACCATTAAGGACAGAGAGCACAATATAGCTAAGCTAGTCAAGAAGCAAAAAACTGAAAGAAACAACTGATGTGCGCATTTGGAACCAAACCTGAGCAAAAAGATCTGAGATCAAAGAAAGCACAGGCAGGACTGCACATTTGAGCAGTTGTAGTTGGTAGATTTATCAAGGCATAACTCAGCCCTATATGGGATATGCCATTAGCAATGGTAAAACCAATGGACTGTGAAAAAATAACATATGGAAGGAATGAACAATACTATAGCGTTGTATAAACAACTTTTGTGATATAAAAAGGGGGGAAACTAAGGTTGCAGAGAGTAGTGAACATATTTTCATTTTTTAATCTGCATTGGTGACTACATCATAAGAAATATTAGTTTGTTACGGAACACTCAGATCTATTATCTTCACAGAAGATGAAACATATAGGCTAGCTGGGTCCAGGTGGCCCTTGGCTACTTTACTGAACAAAAGGGGAAACAACCAAACTTTACCTCCTTAATAAGAGGTGTACAAAGTGTTCCTAGATAAGGTAATGTTTTGCTGCTCAAATGAGCTATACATGTCTAGTGCTGCACCCTGCTCAAATAAATGTTTCAAGCACGACAGACATGACTATAGAACTATCAAGTATTAGGATGGTAGGGTCACAAGAAAGAATATGTAAGCACTGTCAAACCAAGATAGAAGATAAAACAACGTATTTTCTGACATTTTTCACGATTGTGAAGTGCCATCACCCAAAAGAGCACTGAATAGTACAAAAATTATGGACCGCAAAATAAGCGCAAAGATTTAATTCCTGAAAGCCTAGATCTTCATTGTTGAAACATCAAAATATTTTAACTCAGTTCATACATGTAGGTTAAGTATAAAATATTAGATGAGTAAATGGCCTATCGTAACAACAAAAATGGCTAAAAATAAACATCAAAGAGATTTTAATTGAGTTCGTATATGTCAGATATATATATCCTAAAAATATCTCAAACCATTGGGCAAAAGCTTTTCTTACATGTATGCCACTATTACAGTGCTAACCCTGATTGGTCAGAGTCATAAAGAAACCTTCAAGTATTTGAAATTTGGCAAATAGATTATGTTGTAGAATATTCGATAAGGATGCCAGCAATAAGAAAAAAACAATGCTAATTACCTGCCATCATAACTATCTAAAGCCCGTGAACCTCATTGTCGGTGTTTCGGATCACCAGCTAGTAAATTTGTATATGCGCTTCTGACCTGGATCGTGTGCTCGGAGGACACAAGGATTTATACTGGTTCGGCCGAAATGTCCCTACGCCTAGTCTGCTGCTGCTCGTGTTACCGGCACTAGTTTATAGTAGGGGTTACAAACAGGCGAGAGAGGGAGAAAATCCCAAGTCTCTGGTGAAAGGATCGAACGGAGTTGAGTCTTATTAAGCTCGTTCAGCCGTGTGCTCCCCCTCTCATGGGGCGTCCTGCTTTTCCTTTTATAGATGAAGGAGAAGGCGCAGGTTACAGAGAGAGAGAAAGACAGGCAAGGGGAAAAGCAAGGGAGAAGAAGGCCTCTAGGGCCGTCGCGTCCTTCTTTTTCTTCATGTGGGTCCCGCCGACGCTGTAGATGGTGACGGGGATGGCTCCACGTCGGGCTCCTGTTCACCACTGGTGCCATGCCCCAACGTCACCAGCTAGTCATGGTGTCCCATCCCGTCCCCGGGGATGGCGTGGTGAACCGACGTGCCTGTCATCGGCCGTACGGGGATTAGGCAGCACAGCGACCACGCACCAGTCACTATTGGCGATGCGAACCTCTGGGCGTGGCCTGACATGGCCACGGGTCATGTCGAGACATGCCCGCTTCCCTCCCGGTATCAGAAGTTTGACCCCAGGTTGTACCCTTAGACTTGTAGTGGTTGAAAATGGTATGGGTCCCCATCGGGCGAGACGGAGCCCGCGCCCTTGGGGTCGGGCGGGACGGAGCCCGTGCCCTCAGGGTCGAGCGAGACGGCTCCCGTAACCTCGGGGTCGGGCGACACGGAGCCCGTGCCCGAGGGGTCGGGCGAGACGGCTCCCATACCCTCGGGGTCGAGCGACACGGGGCTCGCATGCCCGAGGGGTCTAGCAAGGCATAAACCATCCCTTCGGGGTCGATTGAGACTGAAATACGTCCTCAATTATCTAGGTGAGTTTGTCATCCGTCGGTCCTCAGATGCCTTCGTCAGGTATCCCTAATACTGATACCCGACAGTAGCTCCTGAGCATGTGGAGGAGTATGATACTCCTTCGTAGGCTTTTTCAGATGGAGGCACTTTGAGGGCTTTGATCTTCTGCGCCCATGGGACGCCTTGGTGGGTTGCGATTCCCTTCTATCACGATCGAACTCCTTGGGAACATTAGCTGCGGGATTCGAGGGGCCGGAAAAGATTTCTCTTGATTCCGATCCCTCCCTAGGATCCGATCGATCCGCCATCGTCATGCGACTGCGTATTCGGTCTCCTTACGAGTCCAACTTCCCTCGAGCCCCTGCACATAGTAGGGGTCCAGTCGAGGGATCAGCTCGTTTTT